TACATACATACACACATACACATACAGACAGAAACATAGAATTTTGTGTGTATATACATATGTAAATATTGAGGACCACCGTCTTGTTGTTTTATTCGGCTATGCGCGGTTACTGTCCAGACTTCATGTTATGATTGTCCTCATGGTGACTCTTGTGGCGATAAATACTACTACCGTTATCAGGGCTTTATTACAGGGCACTTGGGGGGGTCCTGGTTGATTGGTATGTAGCAAAGTCTCATGACGAGACGAAGAAGGGCCATACGGCTCATGATATAAATTCTGCATTACCCCTAATTAATACGGAATATACCATAGTTCCCATGGTTTAGGGTACTTAAGGTAATGCAGGATTTATATCATCAACAGTAGGAACAGCAATAGCTGCCATCATCAGACCCCAAAGCGTAGCTCTCAGCCCTGAGCCCGTATTCAACTAAAGCAGTAGAAGAACTAGGTTGAAGGCCGCTCGAGTTCATAGAGGAGCGGGGCTTCTTCTTATGATTATATGGGACTTTCCGAAAATAGGGGAGTACCTTATTCTGGGGTCCTTATAGTAACGATCCTATTATTTAGGGTTCTATATTAGGGTCCCCTGTTTTCGGAAACCCCCATATTAGTGTCTTATACCCGTGGCAGATGGCCTGCGAGGCACTTGCCCGCGGACGAAGATCGTAGCTAATCTCGAAGCCGAAACACGTTTACCATCACGATTCCTCGGGATTCCGAGTATGCATTCTAGTTTCTTAGCCCCTCCAAAAAAAGTCTATCCAAATAGGTCAGTTAGCAATATATAAATCGCATCTTCATTCAGACTCCGCATCGGTCTCTCATGACTGGATGTCTCTGTTAGGGTTTGGGCTTTAGGATGCAGTTTTTGGTTTTGGGATGGTTTCGGCCTCTTGGTGTTCAGACGCCATGTTCCGGGGTAGGAGTTGGGTAGTGTTGAAAAATTAAGGTCCCCTTTTAGGTCCCCAATATAGTACGGCACCCGTATACAAAGGACCTTAAAAGGGACCCTAATTTAGAGAACTACCCAGTTTGGCATGCTGCAGAGGGTCCTCCTATGCACAAAGCTGGAATGATTCCTTCCGCGACCGCGGATCTACCAGTCCAAGTCCCTCAGCCCCCACAAAAGCAACACGATATCTTCCGGATGAGAAAGCCAACCCAACAAATTCCCCACCCCCTCTTGCGAAACCTTACAAGGCCCGAAACCTTAAAGCCCCCTCCTACGTGCTGACCCTACGCCCTAAATCCTTAAACCCTAAAACCCGAAAACCCACACCCTAAGCCCTAAAACACTAAGCCCCAAAACCCGAAAGCCTAAACCCTAAACCCTCAACCCTGCTTTTCAGGACTCCTGAAGACGGCGACGAAGGCACAGCTACTCTCGGCACTGGAGCAGCTGCCCAACAGAGGAGCCTCTCGAGTTCCTTCTTCGGGTTTGGGGTTTTGGGGGTGTGGAGTTTGGGGTTTGGGGTTTATGGGATTTTGGTTTCGAGTTTAGGGTTTGGGGTTTATGGGGGCTTGGTTTAAGGTTCAGAGTTTTTGGGGTGTAGAGGTTTGGGTTTTCAGTTTAGGGTTTGGGCTTAGGGTTAAAGGATCATGGGACTTAGTAAGTAGGGTTATAATTAGGGTAACTATACTTATAACCCCAATTAAAGGGACTTATAACCTTACTTACTAAGTCCCATGATCCTCCAAGTAAACCGAACGAGCAAGAGGAGCCCAGGGAGTGGCCCCTCGGCAAGGAAATCGGGATCTTGGCTTTGGAGTCACACGGAGAACTTCTCTTGTCGATATCGGAAGTTGGGGTTTTGGGTGTTGGGTTTTGGTTTAGGGTTTCTGGGTAGTATCCACTATATGTTTTGAGTTTAGTAAAGGTAAGATTCTGGGGCCTAGAAAGGGGTCTGAGGTTTAGCATGACCTTAAACTCGAAACCAGGTTTAGGACGGTTTTACTACACTTCGAAGACAGCGGAGCCCGATGGTCGCTTCGATCCTCGCAGCTCTCTAAAATGCCTAAACCCTATCCCTAAACCCTATCCCTAAACTCCCTATCCCTACACCCTATCCCTAAACTCCCTTCGAATGCCTGAGCCCCCAGAGAGGGCTCGGAATAAATGCGAGACTCCTGGGAACTTTAGGGTTCTCACTTTAGACTATGTATCATATGGGTAGTTCTCTAAATTAGGGTCCCCTTTCTTGTCCCCAATATAGTACGGCACCCTTATAAAAAGGACCCTAAAAGGGACCCTAATTTAGAGAACTACCCATATAGTACTCACTTTAGACTATGTATCATATGGGTAGTTCTCAACATTAGGGTCTCACTAACCCTTATAGAAAGGACCCCAAAAATGGCCCGGGCCCTAGTTCAGAAAACTACCCATATGAGGGTTTCCCAAAATAGGGGACCCCTAATATAGTACCCTAAATAGTAAGATCCTTATTATAAGGACCCCAAGATAAAGGTACCCCTTATTGTGGGAAACTCCCATATGTCTAGGAACTGAGGCCCTTCACTCGAAGCCCCACAGACCCTGGAGTTGCTCGGATTGAGGATCCATCACCAGAAACCTGAAGCCAAGGTGCCAGCTTCCAAAAACCCGGAACCCTTCTACCACCCTGGTAAGAGCACCCTAAACCCCTAAACCCCAAAAATCCCTCAACCCCTAAACCCCCAAAATCCCAAAACCCCTAATTGCCCCAAACCCCTAAACCCTAATTGCCCCAAACCCCTCAACCCTAATTGCCCCAAACCCCTAAACCCTACTTCTGCCTTACTTTCCTGACGATGCCCTAGGAAGCTGTTTGGACCCGAACCGAGGCTGTTGGCCGCGGTGAGCACACCCAGCTTCGCGGAGCGATCCGCCGAGCGCTGCAGGTAGGCTGCTTGAAGGATCCTAGGACTTAGTAAGTAGGGTTATAATTAGGGTAACTATACTTATAACCCCAACTAAGGGACTTATAACCTTACTTACTAAGTCCCATGATCCTCCAAGTAGGCTGGTCGTGAGAGGGTGTGAATTTTCTATGGCCCCTACCTGGACCCCAAAAGTGTGTAGAATAATGGCCTTTTATGGGTTTTGGGCCATTATTTTACGTACTTTTGGGGGTTTAGGTAAATCCTAAACTGAGGTTTGGGGTTGTGAAGTTTGCGGCTGTAGGGAGTCGGGGGTCTGGCCGCTGCAGAGTTCGGGCTACCCTTGCTTTGAATCAGCACTGGGAATGGTTGCTTCGGCGTTATTCTTGGCAGGCCGGAGGGCTTAATACATACGTGCATTACACCATCCATCCGTGCATGCATGCATGCATGCATGCATGCATACATGCATACATACACTATGCGCGCATCTCGACGAGACAATCAGAGTTCAGAGCTCCGATTGAAAACGCCTTGGATGTAGCCGCAGCAGAGTCTGGGAGGACACCGAGGGTTTGAGGTGCAAAGGGTTTGGGATATGTCAAATGTCTTAAGAATTCTGAGAATGGCTTGGGGATGTACAGTCGGGCCTAGGGCCGAAGAGATCTGATGAAGGGGTTTAGGATACAGGGCTTAAACGTCTCGAACCCTGAGCTTTCATGTTGCTGCTCTTGCCACGACAGGGGAGACGACCTCCGGATCTTAGAGACTTCTTCAGATTCGGCACCCTAAACCCTAAACCCTAAAACCCTAAACCCTAAACCCTAAAACTCTAACCATATGTCCAGGCCATGCCGCCCCAGACGGCTGTGGTGGTGCTGCACGAGGACCCGGGAGTTGGCATCCTTAGGGTTTTTGGGCTTAGGGTTGTCTTGTTTAGGGTTTAGAGTTTAGTTTAGGGTTCAGGGTTTTCAGTGAATGATGAAAATCATGTGGATCTGAAGAGAGGTGCCTCTGGAAGACCTGGCAAAGATCAGAGAGAGCCGCGAGCTGGCTTTTGGGGTTTTGGCGTTTAGACGTCCCAAAGCCCCAAAGCCCTAAACCTAATAGTCAGAAGTTTAGGGTTTATAGGGTTTCCGTATGCAGGCCGAAGCCCTATTCTAGTTATGTGGCTCCGGATCTGGGTTTGTGATGAGCGTCTGGTGTTTCCGATTTGGGATGTCGGGGATGGGGTGCTCCCCTAGGTCAGGGCTTTATGGGTTGGTGTATTTCAAGACTGACTGCATCCCTACAGCACAGAATCCTAGAACCCCGCAACACCCTACTAGCCCTGAACCTTAAACCGGACGTCGAAATGCATCTGCGGCGTGCTAGACCCTAAACCCTAAACCCTAAACCCTAAGAGTTGATGTCCGCCAGGACTGCTCACATGAGCTGCGCCTGTTCTCGGCCGGCAGGCCCCGGGGCAGCACATCCTTCGGTTCATGCGAAAGTGTGGGAGTTTCCGAAAATTAAGGGGTACCTTATTCTGGGGTCCTTATGATAGGGATCCACTATTTAGGGTACTATATAGGGGACGGTACATATTGCGGGTTTCCCAAAATAGGGGACCCTAAAATAGTACCCCAAATAGTAGGATCCTTATTATAAGGGCCCCAAATAAGGTACCCCAGATTTTCGGAAACTCCCATGTGGGGCTGAGGAGGAATGCAGAACACATCTTCAACGGTTTAAGATTTCTTGCAGCGGTTGCAGTAGTAGCACTAGCAGCTGTAGCTTTAGCAGCAGCGGCAACGTCAGCAGTTTGCAGTAGGACGGGTCGGGCTTACATGTTGGTTAAAAGCTCTAGGTTTGGAAGGTGGGTTTAGGGTTTAGGGTTTATGGCACCTTTGGCTTGCAGATGTGGATTTCAGGCTGGCCCCTACGGCCTTCAGAGCATTATATCAATGATTTATCTTGTGTCCCAAGCTTCTCCGAAGCCCAAAACCTTCACCCTTATGAACCCTGAACTTCTAAGCGCGGGAGTTTCTTCTGCAGCTTTGCAAAGGGTGTTCGATGACTGGGTTGAGTAATCCCCCAGGGGGCGTCTAGCCTTTTGTTTTTTCCGAGCCTCTTCTGCCTCAGCGACCAGTGGAAAGCTTCCAGAGGGAGATGCAAAAGAAGAGCGAGATGAGTTTCTATTTAGGGTTTAGGTTTTGGAGTTTGAGGTTTAGGGTTTAGGTTTTGGGTTTAGGTTTTAGGGTTTACGGTTTAGGGTCGTAGGTGGTATTAGGGAAACCCCTCAAAGTGGACCCTTCTGCACCCCACTTATGGCTGTCTTAAAAGGGACCTTATGGAGAGGGTCTATATCCCCAAGGGTTCCCCCCAATCCTAAGTCCTAGATATTAAGGTTTAGGGTTTCGGGATTATACGATAGCGACTGTAGTTATGAAGGGTCCAAAGGGGAAACGGGTTTTGGGGTGTATACCATAGAAACCTATAGTTCTACAGCAACGGGAATATTGCCACGAATGATTCCGAGCCCTATATTGATCGACGCGATCTTTATATTGGAGGCCCTGAACCCCTAAACCCTAAACCCTAAACCCCTAAACCCTACAGACCCAAAGCCCCACAGAAAGCCTCAACAAATCGACTCGGAGCCTCGTGGCTCCCACATAAATGGACTCATCAGGGTTTAGGGTTTAGGGTTCATACTTGGAGGATCATGGGACTTAGTAAGTAAGCTTATAAGTCCCTTAATTGGGGTTATAAGTATAGTTACCCTATTTATAACCCTACTTACTAAGTCCCATGATCCTTTAAGTGGGGACTTGCGCCATGTCGCACAACAAGTCTAGCTCGTTTCGAGTCACACCTCCCCGACCATACTTCACAAAAGTCGAAAAGCCTTAGTCTCGAAACCTCCAACCCTAGGCCCTAAAACGCCCTACCTGCAGCCAACAAGACCTCCCTTTTAAGGAACTACATGTAGAAGCCATCATAAGGAACCCTAAAAAGGCTAGGTCTTTCCGGCTACAGGGACGCCCTAAGCCCCTTATATCTTCAACCCTCCCACTGCGGCTGATGGACAAAATCCTGCATGACCTTATTTTGCCTAAACTATGGGATTTATGGTACTATACTATATCTGGGTCATGCAGGATAGTACCACAAATCCCATAGTTTAGGTATGTAAGGTCATGCAGGATTTTGTCCATCAACAGTGTCTCAAAAGGCGTGATTCGGATCCTCAGCCGACTGATCTCCAGCACTTGGGCCAGAAGCTCCGTTTTTCTACTTCAGCGGTTTAGGGCTTAGGGTCTAGGGTTTAGGGTTTAGGTTTAGGGTTTAGGGTTTTGGGTTTAGGGAAGTTTTGGGTGGTTTTGGGCCTCTAAAACTCTTCCCGGGTCCTAGACCAGTCTAAGCTTTACCGTAAGCTTTAGTCTAAAACTTAGTCTAAACCCTAAACTACACATGTTGGGGCTGAGGGGTCTGGGTAAAGGCCCCCGGGCAACAACTTAGGTTGACAGTCCCCTGGTCCTACCTTCGTTATCTTAGATCCTAAGCCCTACACCCTGGCTATGCGCCTAAACCCTACTCCCCTATACCCCTAAACCCCAAACCTTGAACCCCAAGTCCCAACAGCGTATGATTGCTGGCAGAGCGTTTTCGAGTCGACTTCCGATTCGTGAGTTTGGTTCAGAAGACTAATGTGTAGGGGCTGCGGTAAGGGTCTTAATAAAAACAATAGGGTTTTGAGCTCGTAGTATACATTTAATATGGACCCCCTAAGGGTTAATGTTGGTACATAGTTCATTCATAAAGCTTCTTTACACCGCCGAAAATCCCAAGCCAAGAAAATCGCATAAAAAATGCTCGCGGACCTGTTCCGGAAAAATTCCACGTTGTAGGCTCCCCGTTCCCGTGCAGATCTCATGGATGTCTGTGCCTATTGCGTCGAGTGGAGTCTAAGACTCACTAAACTCCTGTAGCCGTGCAAAGGGTGCCCTGTGGCTTAGGCATGGCCTCTTCGTATTGGGTGCAGTGACGTGGCTGCCTTTGATTGTGAGTAGGGAGTGCTTCTCCGAAAATCGAAGCCGTTCCGATTGCTGCCTCCTTGTCAAACTGCCTCAAAACCACCCGCAAGTCCGCTTCCAGTAGCCCACTTTCGTTTGTGCGAAACTTATGCGAAGATCTGCTAGGCTCGTGGATCCTAAGCCCTAAGGTAGGGTCGGACTGAAAGGTGCGTGACATGACCAGTGTCGAGCTGGCGCTGGTGGAGGATGCAGCCAAAGAAATGGACCTAAAGTTGGTTGCTCTTCTGGCCTGGCTACTTGGAGGATCATGGGACTTAGTAAGTAAGGTCATAAGTCCCTTGACTGGGGTTATAAGTATAGTTACCCTAATCATAACCCTACTTACTAAGTCCCATGATCCTTTAAGTAAGGGTCTTGATCCGGATGCTAGAGCGTGGGTCCGGGATTGAAGATCGTCTCGACGGTTGGTTCAGGGTCGGCAGTCCATCTTGAGGCTTCGGGGGGAGGTGGGAGTTTCCGAAATTAAGGGGTACCTTATTTTGGGGGTCCTAATAATAAGGATCCTACTATTTAGGGTGCTATATTAGGGTCCCCTATTTTCGGAAACCCCCATATGCAGCCCTGAACCCTAAGCCCTAAAGTTGTAATTAGGAGTTAGCTT